TGTTTCTCATTATTCTACATTATTCTGCCATTAGTAATATGAATTAATTAGTAATTAATCTTATTAATAATGATATTTATCTTTATTAATTAATAATTACTTGTGTACTTTAATTACGTACTAGTTGCATAGTCCTTAAACGTGGAATATGCGGGATATTGATTAAATTAAATTAACAAATGACAAATTTAAAATAAATAATTAATAAATAACAAATTGATCATAATTTTATCAATCAATTAATTAATTAATTACTCAAATAACTGAAATCAAATAATCGAAAGACATTAAAAACGATATTTCATCAAAAATACGTATTTGAAATTTTTCATATTTTTCTGAAATCTTAGTCGATATTACTTACACAATTATGGAATTATTTATTATTGATTTATTCTCTATTACGTACTAGTTGTTTAGTTCTTAAACACGCGGAAATATGGAAAACTAATTTCAGTTATTTGAGTAATTAATTGATTGATAAAATTATGATCAATTTGTTATTTATTAATTATTTATTTTAAATTTGTCATTTGTTAAGTTAATTTAATCAATATCCCGCATATTCCACGTTTAAGGACTATGCAACTAGTACGTAATCAAAGTACACAAGTAATTATTAATTAATAAAGATAAATATCATTATTAATAAGATTAATTACTAATTAATTCATATTACTAATAACAGAATAATGTAGAGTAATGAAAAACACTCATCGCCACGATACACGAGTCACGAGTGGAACGTGTGCCGAAGAACTCGGTCGTGCCGATCTTGACCGCGTGAGTTTTATGTGCTCCCATACATCAACTTCAATGCCTCACCATTCTAATTTTATTCAGATCACTTTTTTGTAAAGAGCTTTTCGTCTTAGAATTTTATGAAGAATCTGGCATTAAATCTGGTGTCAGGGGTCCACCTAAAAATGAAGTGTTTGGGATTTTTTAAATGATCATGAAAACATGTGCACATATTGTATAAGATTGAAGGTCAAAAAAATAAATATTATATGTCTTGCATCCAAGATATTGGAGATAGTCGTTTTAAGAAATTTTTCTTTTTTTTGACATTTGTAGCTAAAATTACAAAATATATAAAATTTGTATAGACAAGGAATTTTTTAGGATTTTCCCGTACTTTCAGATAAAAACGTTAATTTTAGTACGAAAAATTTAATAGTATAAAAAAATCAATTTTTTAGTTTTAAGTAAGTAAATGAAAAATTATATCCACTTTTAAAAATCTGAAAAAATTCTCAAAAATACTCCAATATATGTAGAATATAGTGGCACAAAGGAAATTTTGAAATCGCAATGGAGTCCACTCGTAAATAAATATTTTTTTCAAAACAAAATTGGAATTTCAGCCAAAAACTCGATATCATTTTTTTTAATTGATTGAATTATTTAATACCATATAAATCATATATTTTTAACAAATAACTATGAAATGAAAAATAGTTCTGGAATCTTTGCGTTTTATATTTTTTAGACTCATTTATTTCTTTTTTTTTTTTTTAAAGAAGTCTTGTTCCTTATCAGAACTAAATTCTTTTAAAATCAATTAATCTTTGCTTGCAGGAATAATCGCATGATATTTTAATGTGTACCCGGAATAGTTTTCGCTAATGCGAATCTTGGTTCCAAAAACTTACTTAATTTGTCGTGATTTGTTTTTGAATTAAATAAAATTATTGTTAATTAGAATATAAGGCTCTGGTGATTGTTAAATACAAATAAAAATACAATAAGGAGAGTAAAGAGCCACAATGCTAGATCTTCGTGCAAAGGTTATGTTATATTCGTTAAAAATGTTTACAAACGTTTCAGCCTGCCATCAGGTCTTCTTTAATGTACAAAATAAGTAACAATAAAATATAAAGATCCGCTCGCAATGATTAAATAATTAAAAGATGTGAAAGACGTATTTGCAATCCTTTATCGACCATATTGTTGTTCGTTAATAAATTAAATAGGATTGTACAATATTAATTACATGATGGAGAAGCGCTCGCCCAAGTAGAAGGAACGAGGTGGAAAAGTTAAGATCAGATGTCTTTACATGTTGAACTTGAATATCTTAGTGTTGACTTAGTGTTGATTTAATGTTGACTAAGATATTCAAGTTCAACATGTAAAGACATCTGGTCTTAACTTTTCCACCTCGTTCCTTCTACTTAGGCGAGCGCTTCTTCATCATGTAATTAATACAATCCTATCTAATTTATTAACGAACAACAATATGGTCGATAAAGGATTGCAAATACGTCTTCCACATCTTTTAATTATTTAATCATTGCGAGAGGATCTTAATATTTTATTGTTACTTATTTTGTACATTAAAAAAGGCCTGATGGCAAGTTGAAACGTTTGTAAACATTTTCAACGAATATATTATAACCTTCGCACGAAGATCTAGCATTGTGGCTCTTTACGCTTCTTATTGATTTTATTTAAAATTATTGTCTCTTTGAGATTATTTTTGGCCCACGTGTAAAAATCCTCAGCATTGAGGGTTACACTTCCTTGGAAACTAACTTTTCTAAATTTTGTTATGTTATAACGTATAACGAAATTTATATCAACGTTATAACGTTATAACGAAAGTTATAACAAAATTTTATTATATACGAGGACAATGTCTCTTTTATATAAGAAAAAGAAAAATTTTTTACGACCGCTAACAAATAAATGAGCAACAATACATTGAAAAATTAACCGTGAAAGGAAGTATCTTAAAAAACCTATTTGTTTTATAGTGATTTGGCTGAAATTCTAATTTTGTTTTGAAAAAAATATTTGTTTACGAGTGGATCCCATTGCGATCCCAAAATTTCCTTTACGCTACCATATTCTACATATATTGAAATATTTTTGAGAATTTTTTCAGATTTTTAAAAGTGGATATAATTTTTCATTTACTTACTTAAAACTAAAAAATTGATTTTTTTTATACTATTAAATTTTTCGCACTAAAATTAACGTTTTTATCTGAAGGTACGAGAAAAATCCTAAAAAATTCCTTGTCTATACAAATTTTATATATTTTGTAATTTTAGCTACAAATGTCAAAAAAAGAAAAATTTCTTAAAACGACTACCTCCAATATCTTGGATGCAAGGCATATAATATTTCTTTTTTTGACCTTCAATCTTATACAATATATGCACTAACATTTTTTCATGATTATTTTAAAAATCCCAAACAGTTTATTTTTAGGTGGATTCCTGACACGTGAAGTGCGCCATATGTATGTTACTGTAAATTTGATGAATTTGGCAATTATGCATAATTACTGATAATTATACATAATTACCAATGATTTTAATAAAGTACTTAATGTAAAAATACTGTAAATAGTGTTTTGAAAAGGTCTTGAAGTCAGCTATATGAATATAAAATAAAAAATGGGGGTCTCAATTTAAAAAATTTTAGATGAGTTTGACCTGACGGTCAGGAGGCATTTTAGAAAAAAATGTTTCGGACAAAAGATTTTTATTTTTTTTTGCCAGGAAATCTGCAATAAAAAGTGTCATGTTCCATTTAAAAAATTCGACTTCTGATCTGCATAGCCTATTTCCGGTCGGTATCGGAAGTTGAAAATATCACCATTCGATAAAGCGTTCTCATAGAGCGTATCCGATTTACATATCAAAATTTGTGGGATTTTTAATAAAAACCACTTTCCTCGTTTTCAAAACGCGCGCGCGCGCGCGCGTGTGTGTGTGTGTGTGTGATTTATAGTATACAGGGTGTCAATTAAGTCCCGGGACGGCTGAATATTTTCTCATGTAAGATATTTTTGAAAAAGGTCAAGGTCATTTCTGAAGTAATTTTCAACGAGGAATTCAACGGTGACCTTCAATTTGACCTTGAGCTTGACTTTCAAGGTCATTTCAAGGTTAGGTTAGGTTTTTTAAATAGAAACCCCTATTTTTGATTCCAAAATCTAATAGCTGGTGTCAAGAGCTTTTCAAAACACTATAATGAAGTTATTTTTCATTAAGTACTTTTCGAGTTATGAGGCTTGTAAATTACAGTATTTTGACATAAAATACAAAATATCTTGTAAAACATTCAATTTTTGGGAATTTTACCTTAATACTTTTATGCATAAAATAATGAGACGAATCAATTGGTTAAAGAAAACACATAGTTGCTTTCAAGAAAAAATATGTAGTTTGCAACATGCAACTGCATCAAATTGAAGGTCACCGTTGAATTCCTCGTTGAAAATTACTTCAGAAATGACCTTGACCTTTTACAAAAATATCTTACATGAGAAAATATTCAGCCGTTCCGGGACTTAATTGACACCCTGTATATGTATACACGTAGAAAATTTTATATAAAAAATTACTGTGCACAGCAGTAATCGCGGACCATGAAGCCGTGGACTGAAAATTTTTATTATGTTTCATATGTGAAAAACATAGTAAAAATTTTTATAATTCCTTCATGGTTCCGCGGTTACTGCTGTATATAGTAATTTTTGATATAAAATTTTCTTTTTGTATAAAATAATATGGTAATAACTGTTCACTTACATAACCACTCACAGAATTTATTTAAGAAGAAAAAGAAAGAAGAATTTCGAGCATTTTTGCATAAATAATATCACACAATGTCAAAAAGGTACATAAATATTAAAATGAGAAGAACTTTGACAATTTTTCAATATTATTAATGTAATAAATAACATTTTATAGCGCTCATTTTATTTGGACAACATAAAAAGCACAGTTATTTTGCATACTTTTAATATTAAAATGTAAATTAAAATCTGAACTAACGTAAAGAATAATTATTCTAATTTGTTGTTTAAAATAAAAATAAGGATACTTTCTCAAGATGATATGGTATATATCGCAAGTGATATGGTACACATTTTAGTTGTTCTCTAATTGACATATTGACATAAAAAAATAAATTTTGAATATTATAAATAAATTAATTTTTTTAATTTGATGCGAATTTTTGTTTTTAATAATAGATAGTACCTTATTAGAACGAGTCCCTTTGTTTCAAGGCTACTGTGTTGAGGATCCCAAATTACAACGCAATCTATTTTTGACATTTTTGTGAGTTGAGATTTTGAATTTAGGAAGTATATGGCTTGTTGGGCAATATTTTCTGCAAAACGTGTATAATTTGTCATGTTCTGTCTGCCCCAAAATGTGACGTTTGCATACGAAGAAATATTAGTGAGTGTAGTTATTAGAATCATAAAATGTTCAGGTAACATTGAAGGTGATTTGTGAAAGTGTGTCCACATCATGTCATTTTTATCTTCAACTTTTTTTTGTATAGGCATATTTGATAAAATTGTGTATTTTTTCTTATGGATGATGGAAATGTTATAAGTGACCTTGAATGATGTGTCCCAGCATGGAAATATTTGTCGGGCCTTTATTGTCATAACATCTGTTGCATTCAATCTATTTCATTTTAAACATGTGTTTAATTAATATTTATATAAAATTTTCATCATAATGTGGCAGAAAATTGATTATTTTAACTTACACATTATATAAAGATCCGCGAAAGTTTTTGTCATCAGATATGGTGCCGACATATATCATCTTTAAGATATATGTACCAGAAAATAAAGTATTTTCTGAATTGGTGAAATCAATATAAATGTGCGTCTTATTAATAAATGAATATTTCGAGATGTTATTCAACTTATTATTATTATTGATGTTAATAAGATAAATTTTAAATATACCAAAAATTACTGAGGGCATAGTAAGTTTCATAAACCTGCTAGTAGGTGTATCATAAACCTGAAAAGTAATATTACTTTCACCAAAAAAGACATATTTGTAGAAGTCAAATGCTAATTTGACATCATAATGTAACGGCATTAGGCCATACGACAATTTGTAATTAACTTCAGTGTTATTTTGCGTAAATTCAGCAATAGAAAAAGTTATTATCGCAATTAATATTAATCCAATTTTTAATAAAACATATCGGAATGCCATTTTAATTTCCATGTAAAGCGCCTGCAAGAAAAGATTCTTGATCAGGAAAAAAACATATACACACATTTACGATACACAGTATTTAACTTCTGCATTGTATAAGAAAGCAAATATAACAACAATTGCAACTATTTATACTAACAGAGTGTAGGATTTTTATAAAAAGTACACAAAAAAGAAAAACAAATTATTTTTGGTAGTATTAAAAAAAACGTAAAAACGTAATTTTAAATATCACATGGAATCTTATCAGAAACATAACTTAAGCCAGCGGCACACGGTACGTTTTTGGTTACTGGATTGATTGAGAGCTAGTAAATTACCAAAAATACTGTATGCTGTATGGTGCATTTCTAGTATTTTACTATCTCGCAATCAATCCAGTAAGCAACAACGTACCGTGTGCCGCTGGCTTTACTTAAAAATTTTATTTAAAATAAAAATAGAATAAAATAATTTAGAATATATAAAATGTATATAATACTGAAAACATAATTAACACTATAAATGCAATTTTTATTTTTACCATAAAATTTCATTCTTAAGATTATCAAAATAATTAATGATCTTTTTACTGCAATTTTACATAATTATATTTTATCTCTCGCATTATGAGTAACGCGCTTATTTATGATGTATTGTAATTTTCTTTGAAAAGCACAAAACTGAGAAATTGACAATTAAGAAAAAAAATTAACAAAGAACGTAAAATATATTTTCTTAAACAACTAAATTTCATAATATTCATTTTTCAATTATGAAATTTTAATAACAACTATCATTCAAAATATATCTTTTATACATCGGCTATTACAAGGTTTTCTTAAATTTTTTTAAGTGTACATATATTATACGAAAAACGACTTAATGACTAATTAATTAATTAATCAAAACAACTTTATTTATATTTTTCTTAACGTATTGTCTTATGTAAATTAATTCAAATGAGAATTAAACATTAACGGACATTTTTGCCATGTTTGTTGCGACACGTATATTTTCTTTTACTACAAAATTTTGTATTTGTTTAATTCATATATATATTTAATATATACTAAAACTGCGCAAAATTTTATTTTATTAAAAACTTCTTTTTTAATTACAATCGATATCTTTTAAAAAAATTTTACAAACTTTAAAATATTTGATTTCTAATATTTGACATGTATTTAATTAATAAACTTTTACAAAATTAATAATAATACTAAGGCTCTAATAAATTAACAAATAATTTGGGAGAAAAAGGCAAAAAGAGTCATTGCTAGGTGTTCGTGCCAAAAAAATCAAATTAAATTATAAAAATTACAAAAATTACAAACGTTTCTGCCTATGTTAGGCCTTCCTCAGTCGTTACAAGTAAAAATCATAATAAAACGGTATTACAAGTGTCGAAGCGTTTAGTAAACAAATAAAGACAAAATACGCAGAGTATTCCTCATGATAAATAATTTTCATTATAGAAAGATTGGTAATTGGCATTGTTATAAGAAGCCGGATCTATATGTCTAATAAAAAACATGGAAGAGTCAGAGACTAGCATTATCCATCAAAATGCCTTCAAAGTTCATGAAAAAATTATTTTAAAAAACCGAAGAGTCCATGATTAAAATTGAATAAATAGTTAAACTAAGTCGGATGGTTAAAATAATACTGATTAAAATTATCATTAACATAGGCATAGGTTTAACATAGACAGAAACGTTTGTAATTTTTGTAATTTTTGTAATTTAATATAATTTGATTTTTTTAGCACGAACATCTAGCAACGGCTCTTTTTGCCTTTTTCTTCCAGATTATTTGTTAATAAATTTTACATTGAAACAGTACATAATTGTTATGTGCATCTCAGCTTACGTATTGTAAAGCGAGAAGAGAAAAAATTATGAAAAACATTAAAAATTTTCATTAACATTGAAGAAGATATTTTTAACAATATAAAGCTGTACTTACGCTTTAAAATTTTTAAATATATATTTTGAATGAAAAATATTTCATTTTTCTGACTCACCTATACATATATATTAAAATCGTGTGTTAATTAAAATACAGTATTTTATAACAATTAACAATTTGTAACAATAATATAGTTCACACCGTCTCAAATTACGAGTGCCAAAGGTATATAAATTTGATCACTGTCTTACTGTTTCGAGAAATCATCGAACACTAAGAAGAATATTGGCAGTTGATATTATAATGAATACATTATGTGTCATGTAAACAGTTTGTATAAGGTCGCGCAATCAAAAGACACGAAGTGTGTTCGTTTTAGATACTTACGTGCTGTGAGCGTTTACGCTTATAAGCGCTACTTCATGCATTTATTTTAAGTTTCTAAGCACTCATATCGAAAGTAATAAAATTGGTTTTAACTGTGTAAGAAATTGTAAGCGCGTAAAAAAATAATAATTATAGCATTTTTACAAGCATTAATTTTATTACATCATAGATAACGAAGGTATAAATTTTATAAAGAATAAACAAATTATTCTTTTAATCTTTCTTTAGATATTTATTTTATTAAAAGGCTAATAACTTGATTGCAAAATTATGTAGCATAAGTTATATCAGTTTCAGAGATAAACAGTTTAAATCGCATTTTAAGTATGTCCAATAATGTTAAGTAATCCCAGTCAGCAAACAGTATACCAGCAGTATGTCAGCAGATCTAATCATGAATTTACAGCAGATTCCGCTTCGTTGCGTTCTCATTAAGAGGCTATATACAGGGTGTATAAAAAGTACCGGAACCCCAGAATATCTCAGAAAAATATAAGTTTTATAAAAAATGTTTCAGATAAAAGTTGTAGGATTTGAAAAGATCTATTTACTGATTTCATCAGTTTGACTTTAGGTGGAGACGCTTCGGAGATTTAAAGGTCATCTTTATTTTTTTTAATGGAATTACCTTAATTTTTTTATATAAATCGATTCCTTGCAATATTTGGCGTAAAAAGTTATAGGGGTAAGGTGGCCAAAAATTGAAAAGTTTACGAGATATTTTATACTTTAATTTGACATAATTTTACGTAAACTATGAAATATCTCGTTAAATATTAATTTTTCAATTATTTTATCTTAACACTTTTATGCACAAAATAATGACAGGAATTAATTGGTGTAAAAAAACACATAGTTATTTTTTAGAAAAAATATGTAACTGAAATGTTCCCTGCCAGCCAGTAATGCGATATCTACTACCGGGCTTCCGGCTCTCGAGCCCCAACACAAGTAAGAAGCGCTTACGTCACGCGTCTGTGTGCGCTCGGCCGTTCGGCTATAGAGAGAGAGCGGACGTCTCTGTCTTGCTCTGTCTTGCATCAAGCCGACGTAAACACATAGCGGACGGCAAATGCTCAAAAACAAGCGCTTTTAATCGAGTAAAGGTACAATTTCATGGTGTCGCTTGTCGCTGCGATGAGTGGTCACGTGACCGAATTCTTGTCGCCAGCGACACTGCTAAAAAGTTGGATTAAATTCAACTTTCAGCGACATCGGTCTCGCGCATAAATGTGAAATTTAAACATGGAACTGCAAGATGTAAGTATAATAAATAAATTAATACAAGATTCATACTCAGAATCTTTTATAATAGGTAAATAAATAAATACAGCGTTATGTTCAAAAGAATCCAATTTGTTAATTTTGAGGTTAACTGTGATCACATCACAGTAAAATAAACATTATAAATTGTTAAATTTAC